GCTTTCTCAGCTGACTTTAATCAGTAAAAATCAATTTCACTTTAGAACCAGAAACTTTCATTATAAATTCCTGTCTTACATCAACAATGGATTGTTACACTCAGTCCCTGCTCCTCTCCTCCAGCACCCCAGCTGACCATGCTCCTACAGGCACATGCTTGCAATATCATCTAACAGAGGATTCCAAGTAAAGCGGCATCAGAACTTTATCATGTTGCCAAGTTAGTTAAAAGGCAGCAAAACATAAGCAATGAGCATCCCCCTCCCGATTTCACTTCAACTCCTATCAGGTTTTGTCCTTTTGGCATTGGCTCAGATATAAATGAGCTCAATAACATTTGTTTTATTGCACAGCTTTATTATATTCTGATTGCTTTGACTGCCTGCATGGCAACAGAGTATCAGTGAACCATAAAACAGCGGACTTGCCATGCCAGATCAGACCAAGGGTCTGTTTACTCCAGTAACCTGTCTCTGACAGTAGCCAACATCAAATCCCTCAGAATAAAGTGCAAGTGGGCAATTAGGGCCTGACCCAAAATCTATTAAGGTCAGTGGACGGGCCTTCTTAGAGCAACCTACCCAAAGAGGAAAATTCTTACCTACGCCTGTTAGCGGTTGGCTTGTACCCAGAAGCATGGAGATTGTGTCCCTTCTAAATGAAATTTAATCCTATGTTAGGAATTATGGGTGTCCTAATTATATATATATATATGTCTAGTCCTGCTTTTGAATCCCACTAATCTATAGGCCACAATGATACTCTGTGGCAATGAGTTCCACAGATTAATTATGAGTCGTGTGAAAAAGCATTTCCTTTTTTCCATTTTAAATTTGTTGCTTTTCATTAAGTATCCCCTTGCCTTGTGCAGGAGGAGAAATAATATATAGGAGCACTCAATTCTGTACGATTCATTATTTTCTCTACTTTCATAATGTTTCTTCTTATTTATTTCCTGCTTGATTTATCCCCATCCTCTATCAAGGCTTACTAGAATTCTATTTTGCAATTACAGTTTCAACCAGTTTACCTGTTTGAAGGCTTATTGTGTAGTGTTTGCATCTTCAACCCCACATCTCTTTTTAAAAATAGGTACAACATTTGCTACCCTTCAATTCAGTAGTTGATTTCAATGAGAGTTTGCATATATTTGTTATCAGCTCAGTCATTTCATTCCAAAATTCCTGCAGAATTTTTGGACGCAATCTCTGCTCCTACTGCTCTTTAATTTAGCTACTTAGTTATTTGCTCTGACACCTTCTCTTCTGGTGCCTCAATCTCATCTTTCTTACCTAAATCCAGTGTAGGTGTCTCCCCAACATCCTCTGTGGTGAAGATGGTTCAATAATTCTCCAGCCAACAAAGCTTTCTAATAAGACAGAAAGCTAATCGCTGGCTTCCTTTCTGAGGCAGGGTATTCGTAGCCCTTTCAAGTTGATGCTGCTCGATAGGTGTGCATCATTTTTTGAAAACATTAACACTCTGGGGGAGCTTCCAAAAAGGCAGATACAACACTAATTCTTTTACTTTGCTCTTTTAAATAAATCAGATAGTTTGTTCCATTGAGAGTTTGCTATTCACACTCCAACTCTAAGACCCGGATTGTGGCCTGCATACATCATTATTTAAATTGTCCACAATGCCCTGGGCTGTTCTCACAGGGACTTTTCATCTGATATAAAACACCACATTCCTGTCAAAATTATACCAAAGCATTTCAAGGCATATTTCTGAACTGCTTGATATTTATGACAGGTTTCAGAGTAACAGCCGTGTTAGTCTGTATTCGCAAAAAGAAAAGGAGTACTTGTGGCACCTTAGAGACTAACCAATTTATCTGAGCATAAGCTTTCATGAGCTACAGCTCACTTTGAAGTGATAAATTACAGCTCACTTATGCTCAGATAAATTGGTTAGTCTCTAAGGTGCCACAAGTACTCCCTTTCTTTTTGATATTTATGAGTAAGTATAGGAATGCCAAAAATGTTTCCCCACTTTGCTCTGCTAATCTAACTCAGCTAAACATTAACCTGGTTTGGAACAGGCTAATTTACTAGTCAAAATTACTCTAGAGAGCTTGATTCATCTCCAAGATACTATGGTCATCAGTCCCTTGAACTGTACTTGGTCCAGGAGAGTAGAATTTTCAAAAGTGTTCTGCAGGGATCTAACTGCTGCCGCAGAAATCAATAAGAGCATTGACTTGACCCTTGTTACGTGAGCATGGATTATTGACATGAGCAAGGATGACAGGACTGGACACTATCAAAGAAGTTAAATATTTCCAAATACAGTGTAGAGTTTTCAGTACTGGCAGGTTTAGGTGGAAAGCCAAACAACTGGATAGAACAGCACCAAAAGCAAGTGAATTAAACAAAGAAACAAAGCTAATGGGTTTGCCAAGTTAATACAGAAACATCACTCTCAAGCGAGCAGCTTCATACTAAAACTCAAGCTAACTTCTGAATCCGAGACACCTGTATCCAGACTAAAGCAGAGACTAATGACCAGTGCCAAATGAGAATAAAGAATAAACACAAAATCTGCAGTGACTCAAAAATTAAGCAAAAAGAAAAGGAGTACTTGTGGCACCTTAGAGACTAACCAATTTATTTGAGCATGAGCTTTCGTGAGAGCTGTAGCTCACAAAAGCTCATGCTCAAATAAATTGGTTAGTCTCTAAGGTGCCACAAGTACTCCTTTTCTTTATGCGAATACAGACTAACACGGTTGTTACTCTGAAACCTGTCAAAAATTAAGATATTTCACATCCATTACAATGATTTAAAGATGGACAACAGTAGAACTGTAATGTTCATCCTTATAAAAATCACTGTCGTATTTTTTAAATTCAGATATTTTATTGTGTGACAGTCTATTTCCAATCAAATTCCCATTTTCCCTGAATAAAGCCATCTTAATGGACATGATACATCTACATCAGTTTTAAGTAGTGACTTCTAAGGGCTTTTCAAAACATTGTGAATCAAGCATTCATTCTTGAGAATTACCAGTTCTTCTTATGCAGCTATTATGTGATGGATATTGTTTTAACTGGTTCTTTAAAATATAATTTATGAATTATAGCTATTACACACCAGCACACACCCTTTCCCTTTTTGACCTCCAAAATATAGCTTTATAAATTTAATCTACAGGTTTGAAAGAAAGCTTAAACACTGTTAGAAAGAGATTTTAATTCCCAACTTCAGAAATTAATAAGTTAATTTTATTGCCAGATAGTTTCACTTGTTAAGTACTCCAGGTATTCCAAGTGGCATTGTGACATGACTGCATGGCTGTCTTTAAAAAGGTACACCCCAGTTATTCATAACTATCCAAGAGTTAACAACCCAGCAACGTAAGATTTGCTTCACCATGACAGGGCTAGCTGTTTAGGCATTCAACTAATTTGTGGGAAACAACCTAGAATATTGTAGTTTATCTCTTGGCATTATAGCTTCTTGGTTCTTTTTCCATAAATATGTTTCACTGGAGGGCAATTCCTTATTCATTTGTTTTCACTGATATCCTAAAGGAGATCCCTTAAGTCTTTTCTTCGTTTTGATTTACCTTTGCAGACCTGTTAATCAATCACTGCGAGTGGGGAGGAAAAGGAAGCTTTCAAATAAAATCCAAAAGGCCATATCCCAAGCCAGTCCAAGAAGCAAACAATTTTGCAACATCTCCAGCAGTCCTTTGCAATCGCTCAGTTCAAATTAGCATCATCGCTGCAGACAGAGCCTGGGAGTTAAGTGCAGCCAGCACTGTACTCTTAAATAAATGCAAACTCTTCAACCCAAACCACAATTTCTTAATAACCACATGGCCTCCAAATCCATACACCGGGGGGATCTCCACCCACAGTGAATCACAGAATATCAGGGTTGGAAGGGACCTCAGGAGGTCATCTAGTCCAACCCCCTGCTCAAAGCAGGACCAATCCCCAATTTTTGCCCCAGATCCCAAATAGCTCCCTCAAGGATTGAACTCACAACCCTGGCTTTAGCAGGCCAATGCTCAAACCACGAGCTATCCCACTAGTTTTTTAGCACCTGAGGGAGCTCCCGGAACCTTCGCGCGTCTCCATTAGATCCCGCACGGAATCCCACTCTCAGTGGGTCAATGAAAAGAACACCCCCCACCCCCCACCCCCCTACCCCCACTGCCCAGTTAATCCCCCTTCGCCTGCAGCCCGCCGCTGCCCCTTAAGAGTCCCTGTGATGGGAACGTGCCTTCAGCACCCTGGAGAGTTCCCTGGGCGCAGCCAGCGGGGGCAGCACCTAGGCGAGCCGCCTGAGAGCAGCCAGCACCCCCCACCCCCTCACATCCCCCCCCACACACATGCCCTTTGGGCCAGCATCCTCTCCTCCAGCACCCCCCAAGCCCAATGAGCTTTGGCAATGCTCCCTCTGCCCCCCGCCCCTCTCTACCCTATGGGCCAGCAACACCCCAGTCCTACTCCCTCTTGGAACCCCATCCCCTGGGGGCTAATATGCCCTGCCCACCCCATACTCTCTGTGCCAGCCCCCTGCCTCCTCGTCCCTGACACCCCCTGTTCCCCCTGCCCTGGGGGCTGACGTCCCCTGTCCCCCCCGTGCCCTGGGGGCTGACGCCCCCTGTCCTCCCCCCGTGCCCTGGGGGCTGACATCCCCTGTTCCCCCCCGTGCCCTGGGGGCTGACGTCCCCTGTCCCCCCCGTGCCCTGGGGGCTGACGTCCCCTGTCCTCCCCCCGTGCCCTGGGGGCTGACACCGCCTGTCCCCCCCAGTGCCCTGGGGGCTGACGTCCCCTGTCCTCCCCCCGTGCCCTGGGGGCTGACACCGCCTGTCCCCCCCAGTGCCCTGGGGGCTGACGCCCCCTGTCCTCCCCCCGTGCCCTGGGGGCTGACACCGCCTGTCCCCCCCAGTGCCCTGGGGGCTGACGCCCCCTGTCCCCCCCAGTGCCCTGGGGGCTGACGCCCCCTGTCCCCCTCCCCCGTGCCCTGGGGGCCTCCCCTACCTGTCGTCGTTCTGGAAGGCCTGGTCCCCCAGCAGCAGGTCCCGGAACCGGTAGCGGGGCGGCAGGGGCAGCACCTCGGACTCCAGCTCGTTCATCTTCAGGGAGGCGATGTCCAGGATGACCCCGCTTCTGCTGCCGCCGCAGCCCCCGCAGCCGCCCGGCGACGAGAGCCTGCCGGAGAGAAGGGGACGGATGGAGCCGGGCGGGAGCCTCTGCCCCAGCAGCCCCCGGCCCGGGGATCACCGGGCAACTAGCCCCCTCCCAGCCCCGCCGGGACACTCGCCTGCCCGGCCCGCGGGAGCCCGCCTCGCTCAGCAGCCCCGGGAGGAGCCGGGACAGCCGCGATGTAGGATTGGACGTGGGGAGGGGGGAGATCTGGGGGCGCAGGCTTCCCCCCGCCCCCCGCTCGGCACGGCACCGTGGGGAGGGAGAGGGAAGTGGCGGCTTCCGCTCGGGTCCGTGTGGCTATGCCCGGCCCCCCACCTCCTCCCCCGGCACGGCGAGCAGGGCAGGGCTTCAGGGGAAAGGAAAAGCCCAGCAAAGCCCGCCGGCAAAGCCAGGGCAGCGCGCTCCTAGGGAAGGGGCGGCTGGGGGAGCCATAGCTGCCGCGTGGGAAACCGAGGTGCACTTTCCCCGCTGGCGACGCTGGCCCTTCAACCACTCGAGCAAACCAGCATCCAGCTAACAGGCCTGGGCCAGTCCTCCGGCCATCAGCCACATGCCCCGGCTAGGAGGGTGTATTCCCCCAGCTCCTGGCAGCCCGCTGCCTAGGAGAAGGGGCCGGGGGCAGGGGCGGGGGGCTGCCCTGCGATTGTCTGGAGGCCGGGTCAAAAGCTGGGGTTCTGGCGATACTCTGAAGGAAAGTGCTCCAGCTAGCGACAGTGTGCCTGCGGGATCTCTGCAGCCTACACGAGCGCTCGTCCCTCCAGCTCCAAAAGGCTGAGGAGAAAAAAAAGAAACCCGGCTATTTTTAAACAAACTTTAGGGATAAAAGGAGGGGAATTCAATCGCTCTCCATTCCGCTGTGAGCTACTAATTGCCTGTTAAAGAGTTTGAGTGGAGGACACTACACGAATGGTTAAACCAAGCCAAAATTGTTCCCAGATTTTAAAAAATCATGTCTATGATGTCATGTCTATAGAAGCTGGGTGACATTGTCCCTTTAAATCAGCTCTCCGAGGAAGTCACTCTATGCCAGCATTGGAGTAACTCAGGCTTCGCGGGAAGGCTGGAGGAACAGGAGAGCCTTAGAACTCTATGGAGGGAGAAGTGGCAATGGCTTGGCAGGAAGTTCCTGTCCCTCTCATCCAACATGCTATTTTAGGGCTCAAAAATGACAAAGGCTGAATGACTCCTGTATTGTGACTTAGGTTTAAAGGGCCTGATTCAACACACCCAGAAGTTAATAGAGAAACTCCCACTGACTTTGAATCAGGTCCTTAGACCACAACATGCATGGCCGATAGGAATACAGCGACAGAACCTCAGAGCATGATTCCAAATTGGTATTTACAAGAAGACAGCTGGGATGGCGGCCAGGTGGCAGAAAAGCATTCCAAGGTCCTTCACACCCTCTCACACTTGTTTTACACCAGCAGTAACTCAGAATCCTCTAAGATAACTTGCCAGTTGACTAAGTTATAGAACTGCAACGCACCACAGTTCTTAAGGGTGTAGAGGAGCAAGTGGCATACAACATTGCTGCTGAATGCAGCCCAAGAAGCTAACTGAACTCATTCCTCAGCACTTTGGATCAGCATCTTCCTCACTGCATTTACCACAGTCAGTCCTATCCCTTAATTCTATAATCAGGGGCTGTCCGACTCTTTTTACCTGCCGCACACACAATGAAAGCCAAAGTCTGCACTGATTGGCACTCCATGCAATCCTTTGGGCCTCAGTAAGGAAATATAGGGGTATAAATCAATTCAGAATTTGGCCTTGTATATTGAAATAGGTTGAAGTGAGAAGTTGAGCCAAATTCCACTAAAATCAAGGAGTCCCTCTGGGTTTACACTGGTGTCAGAGCAGAAGTTGTTCCAACTTCTTTGATCTTACAATGTAAGGAGAGATCTAATTATAATTTAATGGCAAAGCCCCAACCTGAGGCTTTCCTGCAAGAAGAATTTAGCTCTGGTGTTCTGCAAGTTGCTTTTATTTGGCCACATCCTATCTATATTTAATAATTATAGGGTGAAATCCTGGCCCCAGTGATGTTGGATCATATTAAAGAAGTTCTGTATTAAAATCACAAATGAGTTTGATTCCCCATAGTTTAAATTCCAGGGTATTACTAATTAAGAGGTCTCTTGGTTTTTGGTACTGTTTCTCTCCCTCTATTTGTGAAACTTGCAAGCTGCTAATTGTGTTAGTACATTCTAAGACAGAGTCTGTTCTCAAAGCAATTCACAGAGAGAGAGAGACTCAAAGCAATACTCTAACAACAGAAACAGCACCCAGAGACTCCCCGCCCTTTTGTTGTATTAACAATTGTGATTAAAATAGAGATAGAGGATGTATGTGGATGGATGCTTGGTGTGGATAATAACTGAATGATCAGGGAGGTGCCAGCCTAAGAATCCAGTGTCCATCGGCTGAAGAAGGCATCAAGTGGAAATAACCAGAGGACCCCCCCCCCCCCCGGAGGGCAGACTGGAATCCACCCAACAGCCTCAAGAATGGGAGAACCAAAGAACAAGCAGCACGGAGCCGTCAGGAATGTGCTATCTGCTGATTGATTCAGCAACAGCAGGATGAAGCAATTCCCATAGACTGGCATAGGAAGAAATTCCTATAAAAAGAGACTCTAAAAAGTGAGAACTTGGGGTCTGATTCTGCAAACCAACTTCCAGGAGCATCAGATGAGCATCTGACAAGGCCCTGCTCCCTCCTCATGTCCAGGCCACCTGGCCAGTGGCTTGGCATGAGCAACTCTAAGGCTGGTAACTATGATAACAACCTTGCAGAACCTCTGTGTGTGTGTGTGTGTGTGTGTGTAGGAATGTGTGAATAAATATGAGATTGAATGGAATGTTATAGCTGTAACTAACTGCTTACTATGATTCTTTCTGTATTTACAATAAATGTGGTATTTTGCCTTTTTCCCTTTAATAAGATCCTGCTGGTTTTTAATTTATTGGTATAACAGTGAGACCAATAGCAAAACTCCCATTGACTTCAGTGGGGCCAGGATTTCGCCCCTAGAATGGATGCTAAGGGAAATACTAGGGTTATTGATTTTTTTCATCTCTGCATAGGATAGTGTACACATAAAACTAGAGGAGTCAAAGCTCTCTCTTCAGTCGTGGACGATTACAATTCCACTTGCAGGGCATTTCCTCTTTCAAAGGGTGAAATCTATTGAACAACAAGTTCCTGTTTAAAGGAAGATCCCATTCCCTTCCCTAGAGGGCATATAAACTGTTAAGGCTCCAAGACCACACACAGATATACACAGTGCCATGCAGAAAGGGAGCATTCCACTAATTAGTTCCAGTGGGCAAATAAAAGCCCCAATCCTGCAAATACTTTATGCACATATGTACTCCCATTGAGTTCAACTGAAATATATGAACTCAGGGAATTACTCACATGTGTAAAGTTACTTATGTGTGCAAGTGGTTGCAGCTCTGAGCTGGTGCAGAATTTACTCATAGAATCATAGACATTAAGGTCAGAAGGGACCGTTATGATCATCTAGTCTAACCTCCTGCACAATGCAGGCCATAGAATCTCACCCACCCACTCCTGCAATAAACCTCTCACCTATGTCTGAGCTATTGAAGTCCTCAAATCATGGTTTAAAGACTTCAAGGTGAAGAGAATCCTCCTGGGGGAATTCTGCACCACTGTGCATGCACAGAATTTATGTCCCCCGCATATTTCTTTGCTTCCCTGCAGAAAACCGGCTTTCTGACAGGGAAGCAAAGGGAAGCCACAAGAGCGGTCATTGTGACCCTCCCCAGCAGTATGTTTTGGGTACCAGGTCAGCCAGCAGAGATGTAAATCACTGAGAGGCAGTGGGAGGGACTGGGGAAGACCCGGCTGGTGGCTCCGACCCTGCGCCAGGCTCAGCTGCTAGTCCTGGCTGGGCTGGGGAGGACGGGACTTCCTCTTCCACTACACGGCATCTGGGGCAAGGTCAGACCCACCCCCAGATTTCTCCCCCAGCTGCAGGAAGCTCTGCAAACTCCCTCCCCACCTCCCACTTCCTGCACCCATCACTCCTCAGTTGCAGGGGGAGGGATCCCTGAACAGGGAGCTGCTCCCCCATCTGCCCAACCTCCATGCAGCCAGACCCCCTCATACCCAGACCCTGCTGTCAAACCTCACCCCAGCACTCAGAACCGCCCCCCCTTGAGAAGCCCCACTCCCTCTGCACCTGGACCACCCTGACAAGCCACCCGCACCCGGATCCCTATCCCACCAAGCCCCAACCAGCTGCACCTGGATCCCCATCCTACTGAGCCCCACTCCCCCAGCATTTGGACCCCCTGTCAAGCTCTATCCCCCCCAACCCAAATACCCCCCACACTGAGCCCCAACCACTTTCACCTGGACCCCCTGCAGAGTCCCATTACCATTGCACCCAGAACCCCACAACAGGCCCCTGCGCATCCAAATCACTCCCTGGCAAGCTGTGTGCATCTCACTGTTGGAGAGAGTGCTACTAACACAATACAAGAGCTTTCTAGACCCCGGGAAAACCCTGTCAATGTCCTCTGCATAACATTCATAAGAATAAGAAATTTATAATGCCAGTCTCTCCAGCAAGTTGGGAATTCCATGATGTTGGGATGTCACAAAATAGTCAAATCGTGTTCCAAGTTCTAGTGGATCAAAGTGCCATAGCCAAGAACATTTATTGCCTAGTAGTCAAACAGCAGTGGAAAACAACTTAACATGATTTATTGTGGTTTAATTTCAATCCTTGCTTCCAGAACCATGTGCAAGTTAAAATTTGCATGCAGTGTAAGGAGTTATAACAACATGGATTAATGAGGTATAATTTTGCTCCGACTCACACAGTCGGTTTACTCCCCAGCAGTGATAACCTCACACAAAGACTGGGGATAGAGTTCAGCTTGAGGTCTTGGGAGCAGGGAGATGGCTGGACTGAAGCTAATGTGATCAGAGAGAAATTAATCTGTTTTATTGTAGATCTGGAGCTA